GCTGCAACTTTTGATGATGGTTGCTACCATCTTTGCGTCATATAAAAACAATTGCAACCACTGGTTGCAACCACCTTCACAACCATTTTGTTTCCTTTTTTGGATTGCGACATGGAACATTAGTGTGATCCACATGTTAAACTCTATTATTAGTATTAGTAAAAAAAAAATCCTCACATCTCTTTACTGAATTTATTTAGAGGTGTGTTGATCATTGAACCAATAAGAAATAAAGCTTAATTTATAGTTTTACCATCAATCTACTTATAGTTTTTTTTTTGCTGAAGCAACCACCACGTTTATTTATTTATAATGATTATTATTATTACTTCAAATATGTATCAAAATTGCAATAATTGCTTCTGAATATTAATACTTACCAAAGAAAACCAATTGTTTTGACATGAAGTAACAACAACATCAATGATCAAATTGTAAACTACAGTCAGATTTCAATTTGGTGCAATAGCCATGATGTTCTTGAATAGCTCACAAATGGAATAAAATATTTGTAATATAATAATAATTTGTATATAAAAAAATTCATACATTCAATAAGTTTAAAATTTTATTTGGATAAACATAAAAAATTCAATGATTTTGTTATTTTCTTTATTTATAATTTTTATAATTGAAGATTCTTTTTAATATTTTTGATTAAATCTTGAGATCCATGATTTTAATTTGCTGAAGTGTTGGTATATCATCATCTTCAATTTCATTTCTTTTGGCCAGATTATTGAGATTATTCAACATATCTTTAGCTGACAGCTTCATATAATTATTAAAATTACCTTGGAGAAACATTAACTTGAGCTTTTCTACAACTTTTACATTTAGAAGTTTACCACCACCTTTTTTGATTGCTTTTCAATGCAAATCCAGATAATAATTTTTCTTTCAACAAAACCTTTCTGAAATAAATGATAAATAATTATATGATATTTTTAAGATTTTTTTTAATAAAATTTTTTGATAAATATTTACTCACATATCTATTTATGCCATGAATTATTATTTGATAATATTGGCAAATGTTCAGATATTAAATCCATAACATTTAAAACATTGCTAAATGATATAATATACAATTATTAAGTAAACTAAGTATTAATGATCAAGCAAATTGTTGTTCTTTGATTAATAAGACCCATTCCTACTTTTGAATGAAACCTCTTACTCCACTTAATGTTACAAATTTAAGCCCTCCATTATCAATTGGTAATGTAAATATCACAAGATCCTGCATAAATTTCATATCTATTATATCAAATGAATCAATTGATGTTGTTGCTGGAAGTAATAGTCTTGCCTGAAAAAAAAATATCATATATAACATATTTATCAGTAATAAATCAAATAATTTTTTTAAGAAATTTTAAATTATAAATATAAAAAACCTTTTTAAAAATCAATAATTTTATA